AAAAAAAAAAAAAAAAAAAAAAAAAAAAATTCTAATAAATTCTAATAATTTTTAATACAGATATTTGCGAAACCACGCGATTCATATTACGTTACCTATAATCATATTTATCATCAAAACAATAAATAAAATAAAATTGTATAATGACAGAACATTAACATTTGTTTTGTTAACAAATACTTACACACACAAATAAGCTCATTAAATCAAACGTAAGGGTACAAGTGTAAAATTAAATGCGTAAATCGCGTCAAGTAACATTTCAAAGTCTTATTTACTTCAAGTCTTATGATGCACTTCAAGTCTTATGGTGTGCTTCAAGTCTTATGGCGTGCTTCAAGTCTTATGGTGTACTCAAAGCCTTATGGTGTGCTTCAAGTCTTATGATATACTTTAAGTCTTATGATGCACTTATGACTATGGAAATTCCCGAACGAACAGCTAGATGTTTCATAAAAAGAATTCACATCGTAATAATAAAGCACGTAAAATTTTGATATACTTTATTGTTTTGATTACATTGAAAAATTCATTAAATATTCAAAACGCGTAACCTTGTGTTCTTTGTGTTCTTTGTATAAACCTTTTTCTTGGTTATTCTGCTAATTCGGTTTTTCTGTTCATTCTACATACACATTCCATTCTGTACTTACCAAATATTGTATCACGGATTTTTAGCAAAGAAATATTCGTGTTGTGTGACTTTAAACTTTGTTTCACAAAAATGTTTCAATTTCCTTCAACTCTCAAAAAAAAAAAGTTTTATACCGAAGCAAAAAGAAAAAAAAAGCGCGATAATTCTACTGATCTTTGCATATTTGGCGCTTAAAGAAATCTTTTAAAAAAAAAAAAAAGTAGATCATTAAATTATAATACTGTACGTAGCGTAACAGGTAATATCTGATATGTAATATCTGATATGTAGATATGTAATAACGAATTATAATAAAATACTAATAATGGTTTATAATAAAATACCAATAATGGTTTATATTTCGGATCAAAAAAATTAATAAAATTAATAAAATTCTTTTTTTCAATTAACTTTAGACGCTTAGGCGAATTGGTGCATATTTCAAACATTAGTTTTTTGGTACGTATTAATGTTATTGATTTTTGATTTAAAGGGGAGATAAGGCCAGTCTGATTTTGATGAACAAATATATATATAATTATATTAATAACAATTGGTAATTAGTAATAAATATAATTATAAAAAAAAATAATTCAATAAACATCAACTTAACGTTTCAACTTAACGTTATTAATAAATAAATAAATAAATAACTCAGTAACTCAATGAATTAATTAATAAGTTTAATATCGGAGGAAGATATAATATAAATTTATCGAATACGAATGCGAATGCCGAATAGATTGAT